TCCCGTCACTTACCTCTGTACTTTCACTTTTGATAGTTTTTTATGACTGTTGTTTTGGGTTTCCCAGGGTTTAGTTGTGTTCCCTCTGTTTGGTGTATCCCCTTAGTGTAGTAGGTCTCTGAGTCTGTGTCATCACGTGTATGTGTTTCCTGTTTTACTTTGAAGGTCTCTGTCTTATGTCAGTGTGTTCCGTTTACATTTCCCCTGCCTCATTTGTATACTTTGGTCTTTAAATGTGCTATACAAATAAATATGATGTGATATTACATAGGCAAACTTAATTATTACATCTGAGAACAATGTGGATAAACAAGTGCTCATGGAGACTTATTTTATAAATCTGGATAATAGTCTAGATCAGATCTCACTGACAGACTGGACATTATGGAACCCTTAATGTGATGCCATCTTCCCTCCTTCATCTGCAGATTAAAACTAAACAAAGATAGTTATTAAAAGTCAGCAGGTCTGAGAGAGAATGAATCATTGTGTCTTGTCAAACACAGTAAGAAGCTGAAGCACAGACGCGAAGAGTAGATGTTCATTAGATTATGATGTCACTCTTTTTGTCTTCATATACATTCATACTGTGTTTATGATGCAGATTTTCTTCTTTTATAATAACACATTTTATTTTCTATAATCAAAGACAGACTAGTTCGGAATTCTCAGAAACTCACTGTGAAGTTATCGCCCCATCTCTGTCCAGCCCCTCCCATCTAACAGACCTGGACATGAGCGGAAACACCCTGCAGGATTCAGCAGTGAAGCTTCTGTGTGCTGGACTGGAGAATCCAAACTGTCGACTGGAAACTCTAAGGTGATTTCACTAATTGCAGCTCTTATCTTTATTTATATTTCAGATCTTTGATTGATTTCTTTAGTTCATAATTGTTCGGGAAATGTCTGAAGACATATGTGAAGAATTTTGAGTGCTTAAAGTCTTTCCAAACGACTGAACAACAGTTTTTCCTTTCGACTTCAAAAAGAAGTCACAGACTTGAGCAGGGTTTATTTAAAGGCTGACAGTGGAGTGGTGATAGGGAGATGTTTGACAATCAGTACATTCACATTACAGCTGATGAAAGAATCTGTGTATATGATTAAACAGCTGATTGCTCACAGCTTGTGCACTGTTGGATCACGAGATGTTCATTTGGCCGAAGTCTGTAAGTCATGGTGCAGCCTCAGAATGGACCGAGTTCCCCAGATCACTGCAGCATCCTTAGCATGGAGGTTTCTTCCTCAGTCTTGGAGCCCCTAAAGGGTCCATCCACACCACCAGAGTCTTCTCACTCGCCTTTCTCTTTGTCCTTGTACTTCAGTGGCTGTGCTGTGCCTGTTTGTGCAGTGTTGCTCTCCCATGGAAGTGCTAATGTCCCTGCCTTGAATAAGGTGCTGGTCTTTCTTCAGGTGGAAAAGCATCCTGCACTGACCAAATGAACAAAGGTCTAGAGCAGGCATCCCCAATCCCAGTCCACGAGGGCCGGTGTCCCTGCAGGTTTTAGGTGTCCTTGATCCATCACAGCTGATTTAAATGGATAAATTACCTTCTCAACATGTCTTGAAATTCTCCAGAGGCCTGGTAATGAACTAATCATGTGATTCAGGTGTGTTGACCCAGGGTGAGATCTAAAACCTGCAGGGACACCGGCCCTCGTGGACTGGGATTGGGGACCCCTGCTCTAGAGTTTGATCCCTTCTAGTATGACAGGAAACATACCGATTAGAGTTTCAAAGTGTCTTTGCAAGCAGAAATCTGTCAAATGAGCCAGTATACCTACGCGGTATAAGCAATCACCCCACACCAGTATTTAAAGGCTGTACTGAGTCCTGAGTGTTGTTGTTGTTGCTTTTAGTGTGCGTTTGCGAGCTGCAAAGCTGCAGCCATTTGTATGTAGCAGCAACTGTAATAATAAAAGTTTGCTGGAAAGCATGCATACATGGTCCAGTCTATCGTGCATCTATTACTCAAACTTGTAGTGAAGAGAAGTTGATCATCAGTGACACTGTCTTTAAAATACTCCTGTTAGAAATGTACAAGTTTAATATGAAAAATTATTTTCTCTTGTGTTATTTTCAAGCTGCTTCCTGTTGGCTGTTTGGAGTTTCCATTTTGTAAACTATGACATTTTGAATGTTCTTCAGCTCTGGACTGATTATGAAACACTGAATGATTTCAAGCACAGACTTTGTCTAATAAACTTAAAACTTTAATTCTTTACACAGATTGGTGAGCTGTGGTCTATCAGAGATCAGCTGTGATTATCTGGCAGCAGCACTAAAGTCCAACCCCTCCCATCTGAGAGAGCTGGACCTGAGGTTGAACAACAAGCTGCAGGATTCAAGAGTGAAGCAGCTGTGTGGTTTTCTGGAGAGTCCAGGATGTGGACTTGAAACTCTGAGGTCAGTCACCATGTTTTAGTTGTGGTGAGATGAATATGATGTGAAAGTTGTGCTTACACTAAACTGCAGACATAAGACTGATATTATACTGATCCACACTGAGGAGCTTCATGGTAAAGTCGGTTTTCTTCTTCTCTGGTTTAGTCCATTGACTATAGCAGAAAAATGTTCACATTTCAAGCACATATACTCAATGCATGGCCGCGGCCCTCCACAAGGCGCCAACCGGCCTGCCGAGCTTTCCTAATTCAGAATGAGGGGACCCTGATTAACTGTGTACCGTTCTTCCTCACAGTTCTAGGTATCAAACACAACAATGAATAATCCACAGTGGACTTTCTTTAGCAGGTCAAAGGTCACGACACACAGCAATCTGTGAAAGTGAAAGAGATTGGAGCAGGAATCATTGCACATTTGCAAACTGACACTACTGCATGGCATGCTGGGCAATAGTAATGTTAAACTGGGACTTGTCTCTGCTGAAGTTTGTGTTGATCATTATAAATTGGAGATAAGGAGCTAATTAATGTGCAATCAAAATTTGTCCGGGAGTTGGGTTTCCTTCTATCCACCTCAGTGTGTTGAGGAAGCTGCCACCACTGCTCTGTGAAATAAATAAAGTTATCATTGGATTCCAAGGTTGTTCATCATCAGCAGGTTAACCTTAAGCAGATGGTTCAGCATGTCTCAGGGTAATTGTGTGATCACAGTCCACTACCTCTAGCTGGTATGTTATTTACCGAATTGTTACGACCCCCTCTGCTAGGTGACAGGAGGAGAGTAACATACACAAGACCCACAGGAAAATTGAGTAAAGTTAAAGGTTTTATTGCAAACTTTAAACAGAAACCCGACAGGGTTGTTCAGCAGACCACTGGGCAAACAATTAACAAAAGGAAAAAAAAGTCAAGATTAAAAGCTAAGGGTTAACTAAGGCAGACCGGCATCACAAAGCTCTACTAAAACCAAGTTCAACAGTATACCGAGTTTAACAGACAAAATGCAAAACTGCAAACAGGTTTAGCAAACAAAGTTCAAAAGCAAGGCAGAAGAGGAGGACACTGCATGTTCACTTCTGAGCAACAGTCCCAATAGTGCTGCTTCTTCTTCCTCCAGTTTAACAGCAGCTTGCATCCATCGAAGATGCATTACTGCCACCCTCTGGTGTTACTTAGCCAGTCAACCACCTTGTTAAACGTGACTCCCCCCCCAACCCATATCATTCTCCTGTGGTTACCATACCTTCTGCAGTTAATAAATACATGCTCAATTGTTTCCATAACACCACACCAATTACGTATCCCCATTAAATGTTTCCCCATCCTAAAAAGAGTGCCATTAAGGTAACAATGCCCTGTACTTATTCTACACATAACAATCTCCTCCCACCTGTTCATTCCTTTATTTCTTTTAACTTCTGCTGTATTTTGTACCCTATACAACTGTCTCCCTCTAGTTTTATTATCCCCCTTAAAGGCCACAACACTGTCTGGCTAAATCTCTTTTCATATGCCTTAACTGCTCTTGCCCTCTCATTCCCAACCCATCCAAAGCTATTTTTAAATTCTTTACCTCTCTCCCAACAATTTTCCAACACCTTCTTAACAGGATGATTGTTGTTGTGACCTTTCAAATTCACCCAATAATTAGTCATCAACTGCTGCCTTCTAATATGCAGACACATTTCTCCAGCTTCCAACTGAAGAGCACATACTGGCAGTGTTTTAACCGCCCCCTAAACAAATCCTCAGTGCACGAGTTTGGATAGCATCCAGTTTCTTTAACCAAGTTTTAACCGCTGCCCCTATTTATCTAATTAATGTGACATAGATACTTTTGAGTGCTTCAAAACTGGTGCCCCATGTCAACCCTGCTAGACACCTCATGATATTAAGAACCTATTTACATTTCTCCACAATGTGCTCTATGTGAGTTTTCCAAGTTAACTTCCTATCAAAAACTACTCCCAAAAAATCAGAATCAGAATACTTTATTAATCCCGAAGGAAATTAGTTACAGCAGGCAGCACGCTAATGGCGCATGCGCACTTACAAAGGAACCTTCTGACCAACTTTACACAAACATCACATTGGGGCGACATATCAGAAAGGTAGGCTGATAGGAAAAAAAACAAAACGAAAATACATAACATGAGGTAAGAGGAGGAGGAAAAAAAACTCCACTCAAACTGAGCTCCTAGTGGGAGAACAGTTTGATAACAGAAAAAACACCTCAGCACAAAAAGCACATGACTATCAATACACCATAGAAACACAAGACAAGCAACAGGGGCGTGTAAAGGGTAAGAGAGAGCCGGTGTAGACAGCGCATCCGGTCCTGCAGCATGTCTGCGCTGGTCCAGTCGACTGCCATCTTCCCCGGTAGGGCACAAGCATCGAAGGCATTTGGAAAGGGAGGGGGAATCAGTGTGTGCATATCAGTGTAAGTGTGTGTGTGTGTGTGTGTGTCCAGAGTTCAGCTGAGACAGTGTCCTTCGCCCCGCCAGGCTAAGTAAACAGTCTTCCAGCCAACCCTGGTGGCCTTGCATGGAATGGGAAGGAACAGACTAAACACAGTCGTTATCAGGGTGTTGTTGTTCAGCTCCAGCCTTGCTGCTCGCACCAAAGGGGTATCCGCATGAAGTGATGGTGCTTTTTACTTTAGTGCGAACAGCTCATATGAATTTCAAAGCAGTTCTACAGTCCAACACTGGTCTCTCAATCTCCCGTTGGAGAGCCGCGAGCTTCGCCATACTTGCGTTCTGTGATGTTGCCATTTCTTGTGCTCAAGGAGCCGATTTCTGAGAACTCACGGCAGTGTGCCTCCCCGAGATGTCATCCAATTTGCACCCAGAGAGGTTATTCCGAGCTAGTCCTTCCGAGATATATCCAGTCTGCAGTCAGAGATCTTATTCTGAGTATTCACAGCAACCGTAGCCTCTCCAAGATCTTATCCGTGCTGACTCAATGAGCCCATTTTGAGAAACTCACGCCTCTCCCATCAACTCACGCCTCTCCCATCAAAAACAAAAGCTCTCCACCCTTTCTAACCCTTCCCCATACAAGAACAACTTTTTCCCTATTTTCCTATTTGTATAAAACACTACTTTAGATTTTCGATTGAGAAAACTAAAACCCCACTCCATTCCCCACTTTTCCACCTTATCTATCCCCTCTTGAAGCTTCTTAACGAGATGGTCACCATTCCTCCCCCTTACCCAAACTGCTCAGTCATCAGCAGAAAATGATTTACCATAACTATCAGACAGCTCTTTAAAAATATCATTAAACATAACCAAAAACAATGTTGGACTTCTTACACTACCCTGCAGGGTTCCATTTTCTGTTTTGTATGGTTCTGACAAATGTGACCCTATCTTAACTTGAATAGTTCTGCCGCATAAAAAAAATCCCATATCCAATTAAACATCCATCCTTTTACTCCTACAGCATACAATTTAATCATTAGACCTGTCCCCATACCGCAAAGGATCTTCAGCCTTTTATACCCACAGGTGCACACAATCAGCCAGTGATTTCCTCTTGGAGTGTCATGGGATCTTCAGGCACCCAATTGTCTGCATGGTCTGGCACACTTCAATCTGCATAAAAGAGGGCTTACAGCCTAAGTAAGGCTCCATCCAAGTACAAAACTGAGGTTATTGTACTCGGCCCTGAAAATCTTAGAAATATGGTATCTAACCAGATTCTTAGTCTGGATGGCATTACCTTGGCCCTTAGTAACACTGTGAGGAACCTTGGAGTCATCTTTAAACAGGATATGTCCTTCAATGCACATATTAAACACATTTATGTAAGACTGCTTTCTTCCATTTGCATCGGCAAAAAAAAAAGAAAAGTTGCTTGTGCTTATGCTGCCCCGACATCATGCCAGAGCATAGTGGGAAAGGCATAGGCACCGAACACTTTTTGATCACGCATTTGCTGGGAGTAAGGGCACCCTCCGTTTGCAGGGTGTGCCTGCTGCTTGCGGCACAGGGAGGAGAGGGCTTGCTGCTGAAGTCAAAGTAAACTTTATTGTCATCTCCGCTACATACAGTCCAGTATATAGAGAGACAAGAGGACGAGGCTCCAGTTACAGCAGTGCAAGTAAACAAACAATAAATATAAGAAGAGTAAGAAAATAAATACACACTTTAGGACTCGGGGTAAAGGGATCAATAACAATTAAAAATTTATAATTTACAGTTTGGTGATTTAAAGTCTCACAAACAACCCGTCTAAAGGGGAGGGGAGCCCTGCTGCTTCCAAAATAGCGCACATTTCATTCATGATTTGATTATCGATTCATGATTTGAATCCTGGGTTGTGCGAAATCCCAGAAATAAACCCTAGACAAAGGAATCTGTGCACTAAGGAGTAGGTCTTTTAGGTTATGTTGTGGTGCTCTTTGGGTTGGGGGATGGGTGTTCATACTGGAGTGCAAAATTAAAACCAATGGAAGATGGACAAGAAAAGTTCAGCACAATATTAATTAGTCATGGGTGTAAGAGGGAGTGTTCGCCCAGGGCGCCAAGCAGATTAGGACCGCCACTGATGTCTTAGTAACCTGAATCTGCTGAATAACTTTAACAGTGACATTAAAAACATGCTATGCTTAAGAGTTTGGGTGAAATTAGAAGGTGAAGTGTGGGAATCGGTTAAAAGCAACTAAAAGAGTTTAAATTCAAACGTGGTGAATGAAATCAATTAAACACAAAGTATAACGAGGACGTTAACAAATACAAAGAGCTGAAGAACACAGGAAGAAAAAAACCTACAAAGTAAATCAGAGTCTGTTAAGAATTATTATTGAGTGAAACTCACAGGAAGTTATGTCAGTGCGAATGTTGGCTCCACCAATCAGAGGTGGTGTGGCAGTAATTTAGTGTGGTGCATTAAAGGTTCCATCAGAGAGCTGCTCACTCATGTTCAGCAGTCTGCCCTGAGATGTCAACACCAACAGCTCCTTTTACAAATCATTGATCCCTTTGAGCTCCA